GAGACGCAGGGCTGCGCGTCCCTGGCCGCAGTGGAGGGAGTCCGAGCTTCAGCCTGGTGCGTCCCGCCCGTCGCCTGCACCGCCCCTGTGCCCCGTCGACCAGTCTTCCTTCTCCCACCCTGGCTAGGAGTCAGGCCCTGGCCTCCAGCTTAATGAAAGACATTTGTGTCTGAGCCCACCAGCTCTGCAGATTCAGACGTTCCCAAGGAAACGAGTTTAAAACAGATGCAAACGCTTTCTCTGGAAATCGTTTCCCTGTCTGCCGGCTCCACTGTGAGGTGACCTCAAGGTGATGGCTTTAGCAGGAGCGCACACACCCACGCTCCCGCCAAAAGGGGCCGCGGCAGGACGAGGAGCCCTCTGGGACTGGGCAGTCGTGGGCGCCGGGCTGGAGGGGACCCAGGGCCCAGGCCGTGCCCAGCAGTGCCTGGCAAGGCCCGACGCTCTCCCTTCAAGACAGAGGCACTGTGATGAGGAGCTGCCCTAATTTCGTGCCAGGTATAGATGGACAGACAGATACAGGAAGGACAGCCTGCTGAAAACTGCCCCTGAGCTTGTGTTCAACACCACTTTGAGTCTTGACATTAGATCAGACGCTGTCTGAGTTCTTTACGTCACACCCCTGTGTCTGCTGACCCTTAAAGCAGCCACGTGGCTGTCCTTAGAGAAGTCCGGGGCAAGCCCAGGAGGGGCAGCTTGCCTTTAGGAAGAGCGTGGCTGAGAGTAGGTCCCTAGGACGCAGAACGATGCCCTTGCAAAGGGCTCGGGATCTTGCTGGACATCTCCCGAAAGTGGCCAGTCAGACACATGTGATGCAACTGAAGTTGGGGGCTGGGGTCCTGGTATTTATCTTGCAGCTGCTTTGTGGCTAGGACTCGGGGTCACATGGTCACAGGTCATAGCCTGACCACCACTAGGTGGTCCAAGCCCAGAACCTGCCCAGTGATCTTTTTAACCTGCCATTACATACATTTCCCTGTCACAGTCCTTTCTCCCCCTCTGTAGTCCCGCCTACGACAGTGATGGACTGGCCTGTTGCCAATCAGGATCTCACCACAGTTGTCTTTGCTCTCTATTGCAGGCGACCCCTGTGGCTGTGAGTCAGCTGACTCCATCAGCCTCTGCCCCATGTGCGTGCTAACGGCTTCCTTCATCTGGACGGTGGTGTTTGCCTTGTCATATTGTCTGGGAGCTCTGGTGGCGTAGTGCCTAAGGCATCTGACTGCCAACCAGAAGGCCGGTGGTTCAAACCCCCCAGCCACTCCACAGAAGGAAGGTCAGGCATCTACTTCTATAGAGATACCGCCTTGAAAACCCAACGGGGGGTCGCTGGGAGTTGAATTGACTCAATGGCAGTGAGTGTGGTTTTTTTTATTGGTTTTGTCTTCGTCTCATTCAAGGCTTAGTAGAGGGAACTGTACAGAACAAGGTGGAGGGTAAGCGAAAAACAGGGAGCTCCTCTGCCCGATGCACTGAGACGGAGGCCGCAGCAATGGGTTCGAACAGGGCGACGGTCGCGTGGAAGTGCAAGACGCGGCGCTGTTCCGCTCGCTGCGTGGGGTCTCCGGGCCGCAGGCGACTCGACAGCACCACCATCGCACCACCAACGTAGAACACGTTTGAATCCGGGGTCTTTCCCTAACGCACAAAACGATTACGCAGTAACTGCCAGCCAAGCCACGCCGGCCACCAGCAGCCGCTACAGACCAGACCATCCTCCCTGGAGCCTCTGGAGGGAGCGTGGCCAGGCCGACGCCCTGCGTTCGGACTCCTGGCCTCCAGAGCCGCGGGGCAAGAAGTTTCGGCTTCAACTTTGTCGGGCTTTGTCATGTGGGCCCGGGAAACTGAGACACTCTCCTCACAGCTTCCACCCTGGTCCGAGCCCGGAGCCCGGCACTGCTGCCCGTCGTCTCCTCTCCTAACTGCACCTCAGCGGACCTTAGAGAAGGAGGGTTAGATCCTGACGCCTGGGGCTCCCCACTGCACCTAGGACAGTCTGCGGTCCTTGTCAGAGCCTTCTGTGGCCGGCCGGCTGCCCCCTACCTCCCTGCCTCACCTCTGTGCTGCCTCCCTCAGACCCCCCTCGCAGGTCACAAGGTGCTCCTTGAAGGTGACCAGCGGACTGCAGCTGCCGGTGTTGGCTCGGCCGGCTGGAACACTTCCCCCAGCTCTCACGGCCAGGCCTGGTATCCCACGTCTCTTTTGGTCCCACATCAGGGAGGCCGCTGTGTCACCCTGTCACCGCGGGTCTCCCTTCCTTCCCCTCACTGGCCTCCTCCTTCACCAACCGTGGAGTCCTCCTGCAGCCATTACTCTCCTCATGACCGTTCCAAAGCTAGGGAGTCGCCCAGTGTTCTGTTCTGACCCATGAAATCGTCATTGGCTGATTTTGTCAAGTAGGTCGCCAGGCCTTTCTCCCTGGTCTCTCTCAGTCTGGAAGCTCTGCTGAAACCTGTCCACCACAGGGCACCCTGCTGGGATCTGAAATACCAGGGGACTAGTTTCACCGCACCATGCAAGGCCACCAACGGGGTGGTGTCTCACACCTGCGCATGCACTGAGGGCTGAAGGAAGCCGCTGTGACCCTGCTTCCTCGCTTGCTGTCCGTCTCCTCACTGGACTGTAACTCCCTGAGGACAGTGACTGGTCCTGCAAGTGCAGCGGGACCGCTCGCCTGCTGCAGCACTAAAAACGCGGCCACCGCACGTAGTCCCACCCTCCCGGCCCCGCCTCCACAGGCTCCACCCAACAAAGCTCCGCCCACCCCACCTCCCGGCCGCGGTCTGCGCACGCGCAGTTGTGGCTGCGCGCCTGCTCTGTCTGCGGGTTCCCTGCTTTCTCCGCAGATTCGTCACGAGCGGCCTCCGGGGCAGGATCCCAGAGCTTCCAAAATAATAAGAGACATCTCTTCCAGTGCCCGGAGAGCTCCTGGGCCGCGGTATTCTGCGTGAACCGCGAGCCGAGCGCCGGCGGGGCCAGGCTGGCCGCGGCGAATCGGCGGCGAGTCGGTGGCGAATCGGCGGCGACAGCGCGGGGAGGGGCTTGGGCGCGCGTGCGTCTTTGGAGGCCACCCGGCCGGCGGCGCGGGGGTCGGTGTCCTCGAGCTCCTCCGGGCCGCGAGCGTGCACCGGCCCCCCGGCGAGAGACGCGTCCCTCCGGGCCAGCTGTCCGGGTCTCGTGGACCGGCCGAGAGCCGCGTCTGGGGAGGCCGCGTGGACCTGCTGGGTGAGCCGGGCGTCGCTTCCGCATTTCTGCGGCAGAACGGCAGGATCGCGAAGGGCGCCTGGCCTGGGTGGGCTTCAGCCTGGAGGGGACATTGGTCCAGCCCGAGACGGCGGCTTCGTTGGTGACGAGGCAGATACGGGCCTCACGTGACGGACTCAGTCTTGCGGAGGAGACCCGGGCGAGATCGGGAGGCGTTAGCCCGGAACCGTTGTGCGGCCCGGTGCATCCCAGGTAGGTGCGCTGCGCAGGTGCACGTGCCGCCGCTTCCGCCAGGCCTTTGGGCTGCCCCGTCGTCCGCGGTGGAGGGGCTGACCTGTGCACGGTAGGCTTGTGTGGAAGCAGCCCTGGGCTCTGCTTGCTGCTGCCTGTGGCACGCCTCCGCCCAGTCCCGACAGCCAGCGGTGCCTCGGAGGCGTGACGGCCCAGGGTGACAGCTGCTGGCGGGGAGGGTGCGGTGGCAGCCGCGAGCTGTGCAATGGACCCTTGGTGGGAGGAGAGACGGGAAGGGGGTGGGAGGGGGCCCCGGGGAGCCTAATAGGAAGGACCAGAGCCAGGGGTTCCTAGGGCTGTGAAAACGAGGGTCTCTGTCCCCCAGGCTGAGCCCCGAGTTGATGCTGAGCCCTCTCTGGCCCTCACACGCTCTTTCCTGTGACCTCTCCGCAGCATGGACCCAGCACCCTGTTCGGTCCGCCTCGCCGTCCGTGACGCCATCCGCACCCTTTCATCCTCTGAGGATGGCGCCTGTATCTCTGCCACCCTGGGGTCCCTGAAGGGCTACCTGGGTGATGCAGAGGGTCCCCCCCTCCCCAGCGAGAAGGCGGAGTTCGCCCGGCTGCATTTCTCCCCGCTCCTCAGATGCCTGGTGGGCAGGCTGAGCCCCGACTGGCTGGAGCTGCTCCCCGCTGGCCAGCTGGAGGAGCTGTGGGCCAGCTTCTTCCTCGAGGGGCCTGCTGACCAGGCCTTCCTGGTGCTGATGGAGGCCATCGAGGGCACTGCTGGGTGAGCGGGGCGTGTGGCCGGTGGGCAGGAGAGGGGCCGAGGGGTTTCCTGCGTTCTCTGAGACTCTGGGTGCTGGTGTTTGGACGCCGAGAACAGAGGGGGATGTGTCACGCGGCAGGAGGGCTGCCTTAGGCCCTGGGAGCCAGCCCTCCCCTCCCGGTTGTGTGGGAGAGGGAGGGTGCTGAGGTCATGAAGTTAGCTCCAGACGTATTCTTCGCAGCCACCGTCCCCTCTCAGGTGACATTGGCTGTCCTCCCATAGGACAAGTGCGACAAGGCACCCTGGGCCCTGCTGCAAGCCCACAGGGAGGTGTTACATTCTTTTTATTTTTTAAAACAACTTTTTTGAGATTGGAAGTTTGCAGAGCAGACGGGTTTTGCGTGCAGCGCTTTGTGCACGTGTCGTGTGGGCTGTTCGTTGTGGCATCCTTCCGCTTCCCGTCTGTTTCCTCTCTGCCTTCTTTGTCCTCCTGTTTCTTCCTACTCTCTGAGCTTGCTCCATGGGCAATGGCTGCCCTTTTGAGGTTTGACGATCTCAAGGGAACGTGGCGCTGGCCCGTGCTTGTCGGATGCCCTGGGAGCTCCAGGTAGCTTCCCGTTCAGCATCAGCCCACGCTTTGTTCGTTGGCCTGGTGCCGTGTACAAAGCTGGCTCGCAGCAGTGGCTGTGAGAAAAGGCGGACACAGCACGTGGAGCGGGGTTGAGGGCAGTGGCGTCCACTCTGATCCCCCGGTGGGAGGAGCTGTGCCTCCTGCTCCTGTGAGCTCCTGTGCTGGTTTGGAACGAAGCTGGATGCCGCCTTCTCTCTCCGTCACGTTGGGACTTCAGTCCTCGATGAGTTGCTGGGACTGTCCCTGTTGCTTTCAGCGGGGGTGCCAGGGATGGGGTATGGAGCGGGGGTGGGGGCCGTGCCTTGTGAGACGTCTGTTCTGCATGCAGCCCCAGCTACCGTCTGAGGAAGCTGGCGCAGCTGCTGGAGCGGTTCCTGCGCGCGGGCAGAGTGGCCGTGCTGGCGGCGGCCCGGTGTCAGCAGCAGACGCAGCCCGGCTCCGCCCTGCTCCAGGAGACGCTGCTCCGCAAGGTGGCCTGCCTGCCCGACCTCCTGAGCAACCGGTTGCAGCACGAGAGCCCGGCCCTGTTCCTTCCCCAGGGGTACTTCCCGCTGCTCGCCGAGGAGCTGGTCCGTGCGCTGCACACGGTGGCGGACGCTCTACGGGGTGAGCTCCCTCCAGCCCGTCTCCTGGTGCCGTGACCCTCCTGCTCCTGCCTGGCCTCCTGGAGGCCTCTGGGCCTGGGGGTTTCTGAGTCCTTGAGTGGAGTGATGGTTAACGGCTTGGCTGCTCGCCGGGAGGTGGTTTGGTCATTGTCTCGGTGGGGAGGCTGGCCGTTTGTTCAGAAAAGTTGACCACTGCAGGCTCTGGAGCCCTGGTCTGCCCTGACATGGGGCCTCCACGAGTCAAGGTTGGCGCTGGCCGCGAGGCGGTGCCGTCGGGCCGCTCTGAGGGGACCCCTGCTACAGGGGTTGGCGGCCCCACCCTGAGACACCACTCCTGGCTCCTGACCACAGGAGGTGGGGCATGCTGCCATCCCTTCTCACCTCGGTGTGACGTTCCGTAGGGCCCTCGGTCGGGGCAGGGACTTCGTCAGCTTCTCCGGGTCTGGGCTGGGATCCCAGACTCAAATTTGTCAGTTGACTCTGAGGAGCCAGCCTTCTGCAGCGAGGCATCTCCTGACCCGAGCCCAAGCCCCTTGCTCCATGGAGCCGGGTGTCTCTGTTCTCAGCGCCGGCCCTCTCTGTCCCAGGCGGCACGGACTGCTCTCTCGCCTTTGCCTCCCAGTTGCTGGGGAAGGTCTGCATCCACGGGAGACGGAGTGAGTGCTTCCCGTTGGGGTCCCTGTGGGACTCACCAGGCGGCAGGGGGCTGTTGGCCTTGCCTGACCTTGGGGTCTCCCTGCCCCGTGTCCCCTGCGCCCTGACTTAGGCCCTCTGTCTCCACAGAGCAGCTCCTGGATGTGCTGGTGCCCCGCCTGGCGGCACTCACGCAGGATGATGGGCTCTGGCAGCGGGTGTGCTGGCACCTGATGGAGCGTGTGCCCGACCGGGCCATGGAGGCCGTGCTGATGGGGCTCATAGAGGCCGCCCCAGGGTAGGGAGCGCGCCTGGCTTCTCCCCTGGGGGGCTGGGGTTCCAGACGTTCCACGGCCTCCCTGCATTCGTGCTGTGGATACACTTCCTGTTCAGTGAGGCTGCACTCAGCTGCCCACCGTGGCCCCCTGTCCCCTGGTATCTGGACCTTTCTCAGGCGCATGGTGTCAGGTGGCAGTTGGTCAGACGTAGGTGTGTCCTGATGGTGCTGCCCAGCCTGGTCCTGGGGCCGCCACCCACACCGACGTGCTGCTGCGTGGCCCAGTGCAGGCCGACGTGGGGGCCCTCTGCCCGGGCAGCAGCTGTCAGAGGGCCTGCTGCGGTGAAGATGGCCCAGGCCCAGAAGCGATCCACCCGTCACACACGGGGCGTGCGGCGACCGAGGCGTGCCCAGCCTGGGGACCGTTGCCTGTGCGCATCCCGCTGCAGCGGGTGTGTGATGGCGGCTCTTCCCGACTTCCTCTCAGGCCAGAGGTCCTGTCACGACTGTTGGGCAGTCTGGTGCTGAAGAGCAAGAAAGCCCAGTACGTGATGACCCGCAAGGCTCTGTTCCAGCACCAGTGCACGGTGAGCACACAGACTTGGGCCCGGGGTGGCGGTCTGCGCTGTTAGGGGGGCCCGTGAGGACGTGAGGGGGTCTGTGAAGATGTGAGGGAGTCTGTGAGGACGTGAGGGGGTCTGTGAGGGTGTGAAGGGGGTCTGTGAGGGTGTGAGAATGGGGTCTGTGAGGACGTGAGGGGGTCTATGAGGACGTGAGGGGGTCTATGAGGACGTGAAGAGGTCCGTGAGGGGTGTGTGTGAGAATGTGGGGCATTGGAGAGAACGCGGGGTGTTGTCTGGGACTCAACTGCAGGCCATTTGAAAACTGACGAGGTGGGAAACTGTTCCGGGAAGGTGTGGCCTGGCCCCACCTGTGTGGACCGAGCGTGTCCCTCGGGAGCCCGAGCCGCGGCACTGGTTGGGCGGGGTGGAGTGTCTTCCCAGGGCTGGTACTCGTCTGCCAGGGTGGCCCTGACGGCTCCCGCTTGGGGTGCCCGTGGGCTGGGTGCCCGGGTCCCCAGAAGCCACCTTCTCTTGCAGACAGCTGTGCTGCAGAGTCTCCTGGGGTACCTGGCTGCAGACAGTCGGCGGCGGCCTCTCCTCGTGCAGGTGCTGGGCCACCCCTTTGTCCCCAAGGGCGTCACCACGTGGGCCGGGGCCGGGCAGCTTCCTCAGCCCAAGGCCCTTTGTGGTGGGGGGAGGGGACGCTGCTCCCTGACGGTGGTGCCGTGCCCGCCAGGCACTGAAGGAGCTCCTGGAGACCTGGGGCAGCCGCAGTGCCGTGAGGCACACCCCACTGTCCCAGCAGCTCCACGTGGCCAAGGCCATCCTCGTGTGCTTGGCACGCCTGGGGGAGGCGGAGCTGCAGGACATCCGGGAAGGTAGGCAGGGGGCCGTGCTGCAGGGACATCTGGGGCTTGGGGCCATGCTGGGGGGTCCTCAGGGGCTGAGGGTAGAGCAGCAGGACTGCCCATGGGCATGCCAGGGCTCGGGGTGGTCTGCGGGGCTGCCCGGGGCTGTGTCGGGGCTCAGGGAGGCCCCCAGGGCTGCCCGGGGCTGTGCCGGGGCTCAGGGAGGTCCCCAGGGCTGCCCGGGGCTGTGCCGGGGCTCAGGGTGGTCTGCTCTGCCTGCAGAGCTGTTGGCCAGCATGATGGCGGGCATACACAACCACCTGGACAGCAGCCTGCCGTCCGTGCGTCACTTGGGCATGGTGGTGGCTGAGGTCCTCAGTGCCCGCTTGCACCCCGAGGGCCCGCCCCTCAAGTTCCAGGTAAGGCTGCTGGTCCACGGAACACCACCGTCGGCCTGGCCCTGGCTTCTCAGCCCCTCTGGGACTGCAGCCTCTGGCCAGAGGACAGGAGGGTCGTGCTGTTTGTGGTGGACGCTGGGGCACGCCGTCTGGGTGGCTGTTGGGAGTGGCCACGTGGGGTCCCAGAGCGGATCTGTGGGACAAGTGGGCCTGGGTGGTTCTGCCTGGTCTTGCCATGGAGTAGCTCATGGCACCTTTTCTGCCCGTCTAGTACGAGGAGGATGAGCTGACCCGGGAATTGTTGGCCTTGGTGGCTCCCCGGCCGGCGGACGGTGGCCCCTCTGCGTCGGGGTGAGGCTCTGCTCTGCTCTCAAAGGCTCGTGTGCACACTGCTCTCTCGGGGCACCCGTTCTTGCTGGGACAGTGGTTACAGAAGTGGGGAGGCCAGGGCCGGTGGGGCTGGAAGCAGATGCCATTCTCAGGGGCACAGTTCTCGTGGCAGAGCCACGGGGGCCCTGAAAGGCCCTGTGTGCTTTGTCTCCACGAAGCCTGCCTACTGCACCCGCCACCACGGGGACCCCTGCTGACGATGGCCGGGACGTCGGCATGCCCCAGGGGCCGCCTGATGGGGCTGACTCCGAGCTGGACAGGTGGGTGCAGCGCTCCCGCCCCCATCCCAGGGGACCCTCCATCCCCAGCTCTCTGGTACTTTGCGTCCCGACAGTACCGCTCGGGGGGCGATCTGTGTCCCCGTTGTCTCTCTCGCAGTGACGACGAGTTTGTCCCCTACGACATGTCAGGGGACCAGCAGCTGAGGAGCAGCAAGGCGCCCGTGTACATCAGAGACTGCCTGGAAGGTGGGCTTGCTGCCGGCTGCGTGGCCTGCCGCCCCCATAGTGCTCACTCCTCCTGCCTTGGGTAGCTTCAAGTCCCTGGTCCTAAGTGAGCCCGTCGTGACCCAAGTGGGGTCCTTCCTGTTCCTTGCCCACGTCCTCGGGGCCTCGGGGCCTGGCTGACAGCTGGTCTGCTCCTGTGCAGCCTTGCTGACGTCGGAGGACTGGGAGCGCTGGGAGGCGGCCTTGCGGGCAGTGCAGGGTCTCATCTACCGCAGCCCCGCGGCCACCCGGGAGGTGAGCCATGAGTGGGCAGCCGGTGAGGCTGGGCGCGTGGGGCTGTCTTCCCCGAGGGCCCCTGTGGGTGCTGTCGGGAGCTAAGGGCCATTCACATGGTACGTGTGGCTCCTGGGCCTGGGGTTGGGGTGGCGGTGAGGTGGGTGGCAGCTGGGAGCCAGTGAAGTGTCCCCTTGTCCCCGGGAGCCCCCCAGACAGCATGGCCGGGTGGGGCCCGGGCCGGGCGGTCCCTGAGTGCAGCCCCGCGTGCAGGTGAGTGTGGAGCTGGCCCAGGCACTGCTGCATATGGAGGAGAAGACGTGCGTGGCCGGCTTTGAAGGGCTGCGCCGCGCGGGCCTGGTCGCCATCACTGTCACGGACCCGGCGCGGGTGAGTTGCAGGCTGGGCTGACGGAGGGCCGCGCTGTGCCCCGGGTCCCCATGTGGGTCTGGGCCAACACCAGTCCCTGTGGGGTTGTCGTGTGCGGGCACAGGTGGCGGAGTACCTGACGGCGCAGTTCTATGCCCTGAATTACAGCCTGCGGCAGCGTATGGACATCTTGGACGTGAGTGGCTGTGCTGTCCCCTGGTGGGAAACTGCGGGCTGGGTCCTGGGCCTCGGAAGCCCCCGAGGGACCACATGTGGGAGGTGGGAACGGCTCCCGGCGTATGCGCTCCGGTGTTTCTGGGTGTGGGTTTTGGAGCCTGGGCCAACGGCTGGCACGTGGTCTCCGTGGCTCCCACTCCCGGCGCCCCCACGCAGTCAGAGAACTGTGCCCAGTGGGGCTGTAGGTGGCGGGGTTTGTGAGCAGGTTGCCAGGCCTTCGTTCTGAAGGGCCTTTGGTGGACCTGAACCCCCATTTGGTGAGTCTCTGAGTCACAGCTTCATGAGGGGTGATCCTACGAGATGGCACAGCCGTCAGCACTGTCTGCTTCCGGCATGTTCTCGTCGGCCCCGAAGGCAACCCTGTGCCCGGAGTGCTCCCTGCCCACCCGTTCACACCCCGGGCACCCACTGATACCTCTGTCTCTGGATCTGCGTGTCCTGGACGTTTCAAAGAACCAGGACTGGGCGCCATGAGGCCTTTAGGTGCACCTCGCCCTGCCCCTCATAGATGAGCTCCAGGCCTTCAGTCCTCTTGCATGGCTCAGTTCTGGGGTGTAGTGGGCCATGGAGGCCCTCATTTCCAGCGCCCTGGGCCCACAGAGCCTCAGCAGACCACCCTGTGCTGGTCAGGGTGTGCCTTCCGCGTCCCCCCGGCCTCGGATGTGAGTGTGACCCACCTGCACTCCAGTGGGGCCGCTGTTTCCCCTCAGGTCCTGACGCTCGCTGCTCACGAGCTGTCTCGGCCTGGACGTGGCTCTGCGGCTTCCCGGCGGGGTGCCCCTGGTCCTGGTGGCCGGGGTGAGCCAGCCCTGTCTGGCTCCCAGCTCAGTGGCGTGGCACCTGCAGGCTGGCGAGCAGTGGTGGAGGAGCGGATCAGAAACAAGACGAGGCGGTTCTCTAAGGTGGGTGGGGGGCTGGGCCCAGGAAGACTCAGGGCGCCCCTCCCAGTGCCTATGCCGGCGGCCCGCCTGGGGACCGAGGCCTCGAGCAGGTGCCCGTCAGGGGCGTTCGTAGGGTGCTCTGAGTTATGTGACAATGTGAGGGTCAGCACCGTGGGGGGACACGGCTCTGGTGAGGGTCAGCACTGTGTGGGGGGGCACAGGGCTCGGGTGAGGATCAGCACCGTGGGGGGGCACGGGGCTCAGGTGAGGGTCAGCACCGTGGGGGGGCACGGGGCTCAGGTGAGGGTCAGCACTGTGGGGGGGCACGGGGCTCGGGTGCTGTCTGTGAAGGAATGGGGAGCACTGTCATTAGCGTGTCCGGGCCAGGCACGGTCAGCTTGGGTGATGTGGCCCACGAGGGACATTAGTGGCTGTTCAGGGCACGTTACTGGCATCTGGCAGGCGAGCCTGGCACACAGCTCACGTCCTTCCAGCAGCGGGTGTGTCCCCTGAGGCCTGGCTGTGCCTGTGGGGCCCTGCTCGGAGGCTGCTTGTCCTCACAGGATCGGTCACCTGGTCTTGGCAGGGCTCCTCCAGGCTGGACCCAGTCTGCAGCCCGAATGAGTTCAATGCCGTGGCCGGCTGCTTCTTCTTCCCCCTCATCCAGCGCTTCGACAGGTGAGGGGCGGGACCGGTCCAGGGGCCTCCATGGGTGGGGCGTGGTTGTAGGGACAAGGGGCCCGGGAACCCCTTCTGTTAACAAGCGGCCGGCCAGTGCTCCCCGGTGGGCCAGGATTGGAGCTGCAGTCTCTGCAGTGGTGGCTTGGAAGGAATTTTCCAGAAGGGTTCCTGGCATCAGGTGTCTGCTTCCGGGAGTCCGGGTCACTGCTTGCAGCAGGTCACAGCAGGGCTGAGCCCACAGCCTTAGGTCAGGGCGTGGCATGGCTCCTGCTGACTGTCCCCTACAGCCGTGCCTGGTCCTTCCGCCGTGGCCACAGCCCTGCTCACCCCGACCAGTCTCAGTGCCCCAGCCTCCCTTTGTGGGGACCTTGAACCTTTTTCTCTTCGTGGCTCTTGTGAGGCAAGCGGTGTCTGTTTGGGGCCAGGCAGTGGCTGGCAGCAGGCCCCAGAGAGGCTCCTGGAGTGGAGAGCTGTGAGCCCACTGCTGGCCTCTGTGCTGTAGGCCGTTGGTGACCTTCGACCTTCTGGGAGATGACCACCTGGTGCTGGGCAGGCTGGCTCACACCCTGGGGGCCCTGATGTACCTGGCGGTGAACACCACAGTGCGTAGGCGGTGGGTCCGGGTAGTGGGGTCCTCGGTTCCCATGGCCGGGGCTGCCGACCACTCACTGCCCCTGGGCGGGGGCATGGGGGCGGGGTGTGTGTTGAGCCGGGCGTGCCTCTTAACCTCAGCGCCCGCGTCCTGTGCCTACAGGCAGCCTTGCCCATGGGGAGGGCCCTACTGGAGTTCGTATGGGCTCTTCGCTTCCACACGGATGCGTGAGTCGTCTTTGGGGCGTGAGCGGGGGGGCCACGTGGACACACGGTGGCGGGACGGGTGCTTGTCTCGGGTGGGTCGGCTGGGCGTGGGGGTGGGGGCCCCGGGGAGCAGGGGGCACACCTGCCTGCACACCTGCAGCTACGTGCGGCAGGGCCTGCTGTCTGCCATCGCGTCCATCCTGTTGAGTATCCCCAAGGGTCAGCTGCTGGGGGGACTGGCGGAGGAGCTGCTGGAGGCCCGGGCCTGGCTGGCAGGTGAGCCCCGGCCACGTGGGCTGTCCCACTGCAGGTGGCGGCAGGCATCCAGCCCCCTCACTTCTGGGCACTGGAGCGTGGTGGCATTGGGGCAGGCTTGGGGTCCAGCTTGGAGTCCAGCCTGGAGCGGGGGCAGGGTGCAAGGGCGTTTTATTCATGATGGGTACTCGGGGAGGGACCCTGGGCAGCTGACCAGGTCCCCGGTGGGAGCTTTACTGAAGACTGCCCTCAGGGACAAGGTCACGCACCTGAGGCCACCTGTCCCCATGGAGCACCCGGTGAGCTGCATGGGGGCCACAGGCCAGATGCCAGGACAGCCCAGGCTCCTGGGGCTGGCAGACACATGCTCCTCTTTGGTCTTGTCATCTGGCAGGTGTGGCCGAGGAGGACCCTGACGGGGACTGCAGGGCGCTGGCTGTACGGGCCCTCCTTCTCACTGAGAAGCTCAGGGACTCCTTCCTTCCAAGCCTTTGTCCTTAGACCTGCTGCAGGGGCTGCCGGGCCTACAGGGACCCGCCTCAGCCGCAGGGGCCTCCCGTCTTGCAGGGACCTGCCTGGCGCTGCAGAAGGAGCAGATGGCTGCAGATCAGTCGAGGAGCTTTAGGGTGGCCGCGGGGACGGTGTGGACAGCCTCGAGCTGGCCCTGACTTGGTCGCTGTTTACAGCCTGGCATGACGAGTAGTTGTTTAAAATCACGCAAGGACCCCTCCCACGATAGGCGCTCCAGCGGGCAGCCACCCTCCTTCCAGGACCAGGCACCCAGTGTGTCAAGAGAACTGTCAGTACCTGACGAGGTGGCAGGGTCCAAGGAGGGGTTGGGCATTCCCCAGGACACCAGGCCTGCTGTGGGAAGACAGAGCCAAGACCACCAGGGGTGCCGCTGCCCAGAGCCCCAAACTCCCCCCTGGGGTGCGTTTCTTCCCTACCCTTCCCTATCTTCTTGAACCCCATCCCCACCCCAAGGCAGGTAAACTTGAGGAAGGAGAGAGGGGGCTGCCAGGCAGGTGCTGGGTCCCCACGCTTTCCTGAATGGGGTACCCTGAGAGTCCACAGGAGGCAGGGCACAGACCTTGGACAAAATTAACTTTATTGCAGTAAAAGTTCTGGTGGACAGCTGAGCCACCCCCACAGCACAGGGACACCTCCTGTTGGTGGCTGAGGGGGCAGAGCCACCAGGCCTGGGGGCAACTGGCAGACCATCACGGGCACTTGGGTGATTCATGGTGGACACAGCAAGGTGCCCAGCCCTCCAGTTGGGGCCTTAGTTCGTGAAGTTCTAGAACTTTCTCGGGCTCTCCAAGCTGTAGCTGGGACAGTGTTGTGGGAAAACAAACCCGTTCCCTCGTCTCACGTAGCGAAGGACCTGAAGGGCGAGCCGTGGAGCCACGTGACTCCCGCAGAGCGCCGGACGGCAGGACGGCAGGAGTTAGTGAGCGGCTAGAAATCGCTGCCCTCACAAGCACGCACAAGAGCCCGCCCCCGGTCCTTGGGGCCCTCATCCTGCCAAAACTCTGCTTAAGTGTTCGAATCCAAACGCTTTCCCCGTGAAACCCAGGCTCTTGCCAGTACTGACAAGGGAGATCCCAGGAGCCGTGCGAGGGCACAGGCAGTCAGGGCTCACTGTCCACCTCCTCCAGCACCTCCTCGTCCCCGTCGCGGGCGTCCTCAGCACTGTTGTGGCGGACGCGCTCGGGCTCCAGGTGTGCCAGGGGGATGCCCAGGCCCTGGTGTATGGCGTCAACAGTGCGCTGGCTCACGTAGTACGACATGTGGGCCGCTGGGAGCCGTTCCCGCATCTCCTGCAGGTGCTTGTAGGCCTGCAGCAGGAGAGACAGCGTGAGGGCCTGAGACCCTGGAATGATAAAGCTGGAACGTGTTACAAGTCCACAATAAAGACGATACACAGAAAGAGCGTGGTGTTGGTGCTGAGCAATTCTAGTGCCTGGTGGCCCCACACAGCAGAGCCCAGCCGCTCCACAGGGTTTCCAGGGCTGTGCTGGAGGCCAGGTCACCAGGCCTTTCCCCAGGTGCCTTGGTGGGTCCGAACTGCTGACCTTTCAGCTACAGGTGAGTGTAACTACACAACCCAGGGAAGGAGAGCACGGCCACAGGGGATACGTACACACGCCCACGGACGTAACATGCATGTACGCGGTACAGGATACAAACAACCCAGGGAAGGAGAAGTGCTGTTACCGGTGATACGTACACATGCCCATGGACGTAACGTGCACGTACACGGTACAGGATACATACAACCCAGGGAAGGAGAGCACGGCTACAGAGGTGATACGTCCACGGACGTAACGTGCACGTATGCGGTACAGGATACAAACAACCCAGGGAAGGAGAAGTGCTGTTATGGGTGATGTGTACACACGCCCATGGACTTAACGTGCACGTACACGTTACAGGATACACATGTACAACCCAGGGAAGGAGAAGTGCTGTTACGGGTGATACGTACACATGCCCACGGACGTAACGTGCACGTACATGGTACAAGATACAAACAACCCAGGGAAGGGGAAGTGCTGTTATGGGTGATACGTACACATGCCCACAGACGTAACGTGCGTGTACACGTTACAGGATACACATGTACAACCCAGGGAAGGAGAAGTGCTGTTACGGGTGATAAGTACACACGTGCATGGACGTAACATGCATGTACACGGTACAGGATACAAACAACCCAGGGAAGGAGAAGTGCTGTTACGGGTGATACGTACACACGCCCATGGACAAACATGCACATACAGGGTACAGGATACACACACACAACCCAGGGAAGGAGAAGTGCTGTTACGGGTGATACGTACACACGCCCACAGATGTAACATGCACGTACATGGTACAGGATACAAACAACCCAGGGAAGGAGAAGTGCCGTTATGGGCGATACGTATACATGCCCATGGACGTAACGTGCACGTACACGGTACAGGATACATACAACCCAGGGAAGGAGAAGTGCTGTTACGGGTGATACGTACACACGTGTACATGTACATGTACATCAGGTAATATGTACACAGTTGTTCTTGCCGTGGAGTCAGATCTGACTCATAGCGACCCCTCCTTGGGTTTCTGAGGCAGGATCACTACAGGAGTAGATTGCCCAACCTTCCTTCCGAGGAGTGACTTGTGGGTTTGAATTGCCAAAAGTCTGGTTAGTGGTCAAGTGCCTTAAGCACTATGCTACCACAGCTCCCATGTACACAGTATACATGAGTATATAAACACGTGCACATGGACATACATGCATGTACACAGTATACTTTTTGGAGGGAAGTCATTGATGTTACTAGACACAAGAGCCCATGGGGTTGGTGGGCTGGGAGACAGCAGCCTGAGGAGTTCTCAGATGAGAAGGGGGATGGGCAAGGGCAGTCTGTTGACACCACGGGCTGGGGACACAGCATGAGTAGGGGCAGACGGGCCCAGGACGGTTCCAAGGGACCGAGAAGCCTGTGCTAATGGGAGGGGTGGCTGAAGTGGGGGAGTGCTGTGTCCTGGCAGAATTCGGGGGGTGGGGGGTGAGGACAGCAGGACGGGAAAGGAGGTAGGAGAGCAGCTAGGGGAGAGACACGTGTCACTGGGTGCAGCCAGGGCCTGACGCCTGCCCCTTAGCGCACAGCTGCTTTCCAAGGTGAAGGAAGAATCTAGAAGGGAGGCGGAGTAACCGAGGATAGCCACTTGCAGGGATGAAGGACTGTGAAGACATACTGGATATGTCCATTAGCAGTCACTGAGAACAGGAGCTGGCAGCATAGTGCCTAAGGCACCTGACTGCTAACCAGAAGGCTGGCAGTTCAAACCCACCAGCCACTCCTCAGAAGGAAGGTTGGGCAATCTATTTCCACAGTGTTGTTGTTGTTGTTATGTGCCATCGAGTCAGCCCCGACTCATAGCGACCCCTCCTTGGGTTTCCGAGGCAGTATCACTATGGAAGTAGGATTGCCCAACCTTCCTTCCGAGGAGTGGCTGGTGGGTTTGAACCGCCAGCCTTCTGGTTAGCAGTCAAGTGCTTTAGCCACTACCAGGGAGGGATCGCTGTGAGGTCCGACTCAATGGCAAGTAACAGCAGCCCCTGAGGACGTCCAACCCCTGGGTGGGGCCTGTCAGGACGGACGGCTGACGACGCAGCTGTGAGGCTGTGAGGAGTGACTGGGCAGCAGCGTCTGAGGCAGGGGTGAGTGAGGGGCCACAGCAGCGTCTGAGGCAGGGGTGAGTGAGGGGCCACAGCAGCGTCTGAGGCAGGGGTGAGTGAGGGGGCCACAGCAGCGGGAGGGCCCTGCCTGCCTGGACGTTTCGGGCTTCCCTGTGTTCTGAGTGACTGATCCCTCAGGGTTCAGACAATACCCTGAAACCCCCAAAGTCGGCTTGTTCTGCTGACGAGAGCCGTCTGAGCATCTCCGCAGCCCAGTAGCTTTCATTCTCCAGGAAGGAGGAGGCAGCTCCTCGGTTAGCTGTAGAGCTGTTTCTCCCAACCAACAGCCGGCTTGGCGGCTGGGGCTGGGGGGCGGGCAGGGGAAGTGAGTGAGCGGATCCGGAAACCTGTGTCTCCGGGTGCTGACCCGAGGCCTGGGAGGAACAGGTACCCGGGAATGACTTTCCGGTGACTTCTGGCAGCTGGAGCCCACTGAGACTGAGGGGGCACCATTCCCAAAACTGATCTGTCCTGGGGGTGTGGGTGCTCGGGAAGGCAGGCCAAGGGGCTTGCGGGGGCCGCCGACTTCCCCAGGAACCCATCCAGCAGGGAAGCTGGGAGAGGGGATGCTGCGGCAGGGCTCCTGGGCACGGCAGGGCCGGCACTGTCCTCCGGGAGTCTGCAGGGTGGGCATGCTTGGTGCTGAGTGACCAACAGACAACTGGGAGAGCCTTGTGGCAGTGGCGGGGTGACTCCTACACGGACCGGGGGCCCAACTACAAGCAGGGGGACACTGCAGGAGAGTTGACGAGGGAGTTGAGGACAGTTTCCACTTTGTTGTAACGTTGCCTTGCAGCAGGACCCTGTTGGGCCACTGGGGCCAGGCTCGGTGGCTTAAGGGACCATAGTTTGGGTCAACCACAACAGCTGGAATGCAAGGGAAACACACTGAAGAACAGCTGTGGAGGGGAGTGGGGATCCTGCCCGTACGCCCCACCCCAGTGTCTGTGCGTGTGGTGTGAGGAGAGGCAGCTCCAGGGGCCTGGCAAGTGAAAGGTGCCGACAGGGCCTTCAGCCACTGTCCCCTGCAGGCCCAGGAGCCGGGACTAGGACTGGTGCAACAGTGATCATCAGGTGAAACCAGGGAGTGAGAAGGCAGCACTCGGCGGGGGCGTCGGAGTCCAGACCCTACGGGGGACCCATCACCACGCCCACCACGCCACAGAGACAGAGAAGGGCCACGCTCCAGACAGAAGGCGTGACAGGGACCAGCCCCGAAGGGACCAGGTGTCGGCACCAGCAGCCAAGGTCCTGGAGCAGTGGCCACAGCCCTGTGCAGCCTGAAGGACATTAATAAATGACAAACAGGCGGATTCAGCGAGGAGGCGGAAACCACCTGTGAGTCTAGAACGACACCGAAACCAGGCAGTGGGGTCCGGGGAAGGGAGGCCATGGGTGTTTTTCCCAGGGGCACAGAGTTGACGTCCCTGGGGTTGAAGAACAAGGAGCAAGTTCGGGATGCAGGTCGCACAGCATCCAGAGCGTGGCCACCGCCACCGAGCCCCACGCCTACAAACCTGAACAGGAGCACTCTGTGACGTGTGCACCCCGACAAATGAACGCAAGGTGAGCAAAGCTGCGGGGAACGTCACCAACAAGGAGAGGGCTGCTCAGAGAGACAGCCAGAACTGACACGAAGCAGAGGCAGGGGACCAGGACGCGGACTCTGCGCCTGCAAAGCACACGCGTGATCAGGGCTCGGGGCGGGGGGGGGGGGGCACGGAGAAGACCCAGACGAGGAGCCAGAGATGACAGCTCCGTCCGAGGGGGAGAATCTGGCTAGGAGGGGAGCCGAGCGCCCCGCAGGAGAAAACTGGTAACTTCACAACAGAGCACCGACCCAAACTGAAAACAAAATAGACGGGCGTTTGGGGTACTGTGGGGAGAACAGCAGCTCAACAGGGGACCATGCACCTGTAGTTCTGGAAGGAGAGGGAAGAGGGAGCAGCAGGGAATATCCTTACAGACCTGGAGAAAAGCCGCTGCCTGGAGTCCATTCCGACCCACAGCGCCCCTAGAGGACAGAGTGGAACTGCCCACAGGGTCTCCCAGGCTGTCAATCTACAGAAGCAAAGCCCAAACCACACCCACTACCTGGAGTCCATTCTGACCCACAGCGCCCCTAGAGGACAGAGTGGAACTGCCCACAGGGTCTCCAAGGCTGTCAGTCTTCACAGA